TTCCATTTTATATATATATATATATATATATATATATATATATATATATATATATATATATATGGTATATAATTTTTTTTTAAAAAAGGGGATCCATTGTTCTTCACATGACAAACAGGACACTGAATTTCAGCCAATGTTTTCTTCTGAATGCAGCTGGGTGCCATTCATGTTCTGCAAGATTTGTAAATATTCTTATGAACAGCCCACACACCTGAGTAGGCTGGCAAAAACATATATTTAGACCTATTTGGAATAAACGCTTCCAAAACCATCAACTTCCTGCAACCTAAATTTAGGAATGTTGATCTGGCAAGCCATCTTGATCTCACCCTCTCTACTAACAAGCTGTTGCTGTTGTTGTTGTGGTGGTGGTGGTGGTGGTGGTGATGGTGTGCGTTCAAGTCCTTTTTGACTCATGACAACCCTAAAGCAATCCTGTCACAGAATTTTCTTGGCCAGATTGGTTCTGAGAGAAGCTGCCTGTCTTCCTCTGAGGCTAAGAGAATGCGACTTGCCCAAGGCCATCCAGCAGGTTTTCCATGGCTGATCAGGATTCAAACCCTGGTCTCTAGAGTCATACTTGAAACACTGTACCAGGCTGGCTCTTACTAATAAGACGTAGTTAAGATGAAACAAACAAGTGATACAGAAAATCAATAGAAAGACTGAGGAATGAAAGCCATCTCATGATCCAAGCAAAAGATTTGCAGAACTAAGAAGGAGCAATTATTGTTCCTGCATTCATCCCGAGGATGGAAGTGGGACTAGGGTACTTCTCATCTTGGAATAAGCTGAAGGATTACAGGTTCATGACTGAAAAGAAAAGCTGCCTTGCATGCAAATAACATGCTGGTAGCGTCTATGTTGAATGATAAATGAATCAGTAACACCAAAGACAACTTAAATCTACAGCCAAATTAGAAGCCCAAAGCAGGTAACAGGATTTGGAGTCATGAAAGGGCTTCTGTGCAACAGCCAACCCCTTTAATTTAGTTTAAAAGGTAACAGAAGGTCAGTGGGGTATGGAAGATGGCTGCAACAGGGTGGAGGTAAGGGAATGGGAATTGATGTAAACACAGCAAACATTTGGCAAAATGTATATGAGGAGGTAAATCCAACAACATTAATTTAAATTACAGTCTGGATGTAATTACGTTGTTATTTCCACAATTTCAAATTTAACCAAGCAGCAAAATTTATATAAAATGTTGCATCCTATCACTACACTTAGGACACCAGAAGTCCTCCATCTGTCACAAAATAGGTGCTTTTAGATTGTCCTAAAAAGGCATTGCTGTTTTGTGAATTTTGGATATCACTGTACTTCAGGTTACAAGGATCAGAATTTTAAGAGTGTTTCTTGAGAACAATGAAGATATCCCCTTGGGAGATTGATATCATCCTATGCAACTCTTTGGTTGGATCCAAACTGCAGAATTAATGCAGTTTGACACCACTTTTAACAGCCATGGCTCAATGCTTTAACTGCTGTGGTTCAATGGATTTCTGGGATTTGTAGTTTTGTGAGACATTTAGCCTTCCCTCACTCAAAGCTCTGGTGCCACAACAAAATACAAATCCCAAAATTCCATTGCAAGTTGTGTCAAACTGCATTATTTCCATAGTGCAGATGCAGTCTCAGGAGATTTATGGCTGGGTTTTTTTTTCACAATTTACATCTTTCTGCATCCAATTACAGTTCTATCCCACTCATATACCTATGTAACTGTGCCTAAATACCTTAGACCAGGGGTAAGCAAACTTTTTGAGCTGGGGGCCGGGTTGCTCTCCCTCAGACAATTGGGGGGCCGAAGCACCAAAAATAAATAAATAAATAAATAAAAATAACTTTTTTTAAAAAAATTAAAAAATTAAAAAATATGCATGCACACTCTCTCAGCCCCAGAATAGCCATGGCAAAATCCCTGTGGAGATTTTGCCAAGAAAACCCCAAGAACAAGTAATAACAACAATAATCAATACCATCATAGCAGGTGGCTGTGGCAGGATCAGCCTAGGGCCGGTCCAAAGGCCTCAGAGGGGGCCGCATCTGGCCCCCAGGCCTTAGGTTGCCTACCCCTGCCTTAGACTTTAAGATCTCTCCATTTGTACATCTGAAGTAGTTGTCTGATATTCATAAAAGCTCATGCTAAAATAAATCAGTCTCAGAGGTGATGCTCGATTTTACATACACACTCCAGAGAAAAACACTTTTTTCTTTTCTCTTTTTCTGATGAAACAGGCTAACATGATTATCTCTTTTAAAACTGCTACTGTGTAGTATCCTGGATAATGTTGCACAACCAATGATGTAATGGTGACAATGCCTCATGCTTGTCTATTGCACATTGGTATGTTTGCTCCCCCAACTACCAAGTAAAATGGAGGAATGTGACAATTTCCTAGGAATTGCAACCACTTGTACAACAGTTAAGCAAATTTAATACACTCACACAACCCAGATTATGATATAATCCTTACACAACCTCATATAAAATGGAACAGCTTTCATAACGGTAGCACAGATCACCAGCACAAGTCACCAACTAGATTCCAACAAAAGAATGTACAAATATATACAGATGGGTATGAAGCTCTTTGGGCTTACATTGGTTGTCATAAATGTCCAACAAAACCAACCAAACAGAAAAACCCACACTGAACCATTGATTCAATAAATCTATATTATTTTGGACAAACCAACTGGACTCCAGACTTTATTATCAATATACAATAGCCCCCAACAAGATACACAATATTTTGTTATCGTTGGAAGGATAATGAAAGCAAGGGCCCTGTCCTGTCAAAAATGTGGCTGGTTATTTCTAGATACCAAGGATGAGGAGCACAGGCATGGAAAGGTACTGAGAATAAATAAATAATAGAAATCTGGGAGAACATAGCAGAGGGTGCAAAATAAATGAGAAAAGGTATAAAAGACCACAGGACCAGAGGAGGCTAAAGGCACTTAGCAGGAGCGATTAACAGAGAAAATGGTTATATAAGGCAGAAGCATTTACATTTTCTCCTGAATAGAATTAATGATATGGAGGAAGGAGGAAAGCACATCTTTTCAAGAGGAATTGCATGAAAGAAGAATATGGGTATGGGCAGACTAGACACATTTCCAACTTCTGATCTATAAAGCAGCTTCTCAACTGACATAGTAATGCTTTCTCTTAGGCATATATTTTTCTTCTGTGGTTCCTGTTATGAAAAAGAGCATTTTGGGTCATCTTCCCATTTTTCTACTGAGAAGCAGGGGTGTTTTCTTACTGCTGTTAAGAACAGACACAGGTTCTATGAATAAAGTGATTCATGTTAGTATGAAACACGACTGACGTTTGGAGCTTCTAACCAGTGTCAGTCACCATGAGTAGCCATGATTCAGATTCAGAAAAAGCTCATATCAAATCATGGCTGAGCTCCCCCAACCCCCTCCCGAGGTCATCCCCAGAGCAGCCGGCCCTCCTCACAGCCGGAGCTCCGAGGAGGACCTCCCTCCGCAGCCTTTCCACGCGCTGTGGCGGAAAAGTCAACAAAAGTGCACCACAGCCTTTTCTGTCCTTTCGCTGACTTGTGAAAGGAGCATTAATTTAGCACTCCTTTCAGGGGCGGCGAAGCTGCACCACAGGATTGAGGCGTGGGGATGCCTCGGTCCGACGGCGCAGCTTCCCAGGGCGGCCCACAGCCGCCTGTCTGCTTAGCCCTGAACTAAATGGAATATGAACATTTCCCAAAACCTTATTAGCAATTAAGATTCAAAGGAACCCTTGGACCAAAACAATGTATCTTAAAAATTGAGGCATCCCAAGAGTTGCATCTCACTTGCCACAACCATCAGAATACCCATGGGCCAAACCTTCCCCCCCAAAACTGGGTTATTTCTGAGGTTTTTTTTTAAAATATAAATTTTAAAGAATTTGGGGCCTTTAAAAATGCATGAAGGTGAAATAGCATTTCAAGGGAGAATTGGGGCCTTTGGAAGCCTCTGGAGTATGATTTCTTATTGCTTTATTCTTTTATTATTATTATTATTGGGGGCAGAGTGACTGGGGTTGAACAGAAGCACTTTTGGGGGGATCCTGTAGCCTGACATAAGGGGGGAAAATAAGGGTAAGGAGGGAGAGGAAGATGCATGGCTTTGTGATTTACAGTTCTGGCTTCTAATCAGAATAGATGACTTTATCAGAACATTCCATTTCTAATAACCAAACAGGATTAGTTCTCAGTTCCACAAATGAAGCATCCTTTTGTGGAATCTCCCAGATTGTAAGGCTGTTCATTCACAAGACTCCCTGCACCCATTCTTCTCAATTTTCATAAGCTCAACCTCCCCCGCCCCTACTTCTTCCACCAGGGCCAGCTATACCTCTAAACCTTATCCAGTTTGACTAAGAATTTGGGAAAGTATCACTATTTCCTTCAACAAAAAAATGAGCAGATTTTAAAGACATGGAGTTCAGAAAACTCTGCACCACTTTGGGTGAAATTTACCAGATACATTTTCTTCATTACAGGCTACTACCCCTGAACATTCATTTATATTTTACAAACAGGAAGAAAAAAAGCTGTGGCCATTGATGGTCAATAGAATGCACACAGAGCTGAATTAGAAAATATATTTATTTATTATTTATATATTAAAATATTTCAGTTCCACCCTCTATCAAGAAAACTCAGGTTGGCATACCATGGATACATATACAATGTAAGCAAAATTTATAAAACCAACAAAATAATGTAAATAGGACCACCAAGATAAAACAGCAGAAAAGGCTAAAACAATTGAAACCATATACATGTACACTTAAAAAACATTAAGCTTTAATTAAAGCCATGTTTTAACTTGGTGCCTAGAAGAAACTAACACTGGCACCAATTGGACCTCTAAGATGGCATAAAAATTTAGGATTTGGATTCACGCCTGAGCCAGAGTTAATAACTAGAACTGGTACAAGACAGTTTGGGTTCCTTTTTGAGTCACTGTACCAAGAGCCATGGTGGTGTAGTGGTTTGAGCATTAGACTATGACTCTGGAGATCAGGGTTCAATTCCCCACTTGGCCATGGAAACCCACTGGGTCACCTTGGGTGAAATACACACTCACGCCCTAGAAAATCCCATTATAGAGTCACCTTAGGGTCAACATAAGTCAGAAATTACTTGAAGGCACACAGCCACACAACCTTGCTGTTCATATGCCTCATAGCAGCCAACTAGGTGTTCTTCTTTCTGGGCTGACTTTGGGAGTCTGGTGACCCCATGCGTATATATGATCTCTTCACTTGTTGCTGTACCGTTGCATGTCCTTTGTCACATTCTCACATCACAAGCTCTGATTGGTAAGATACAAGGTGCTGCTTCCTTACATATAAGTGAGAGGCTAGTCTGTCAATCAATCTGTTTAAATCAGGGGCAGGGAAAGTGGGAACTGCATGCAGTATGTGCACACACACCACTTTCACAGCCACTGAAATCTCACACACACACCCCAACCCCACTCATTTTTTTAAAAAAATGCTCCTAAACTATGCCCCAAACCCCCCACATCTGAGGAAAAACATACACATAACTCTTGCACACTGCCAAATCCCTCATCCTCTGAATGTGCCTGAATTTTCAGCCATATAAGGGAGAACAGAAAACAATAACATGGGTCTGGAATGTGTGATGCAGAAACGGTAGCTAATGATAGAATTTATGTCCTTGCTGTAGTACTTTATGTGAATTATAGAAGATGAAAGGGATTGAGTGGGCTTTCTAGCTGAGCTTCCTGAATGTCCTCTATACAAATGATGCCTGAGAAATGTGTGTCCAATCCTTTTCTGGATGACATCCAAAGTAAACAGTAATAATAGGCTAAATCCAGTGTTTGTCCTAGTTAGAATAGACCCATTTAAAATGAATGTCACAGATAAGTTATCTTCCAGAATAGTTTGGATTTACAGTCGTCCCTCCATTTTCATGGAGGATCCATTCTGGACACCACCACCCTGCGAAAATGGTAATCTGCAAATATTCAAGCCCCATAGGCTTGAATGGCCATGTGCTCCTGCATGTGGCTCTGTATGAGCGCCATGGGCTCGAGCGCAATTTTAACCCTCCTCGCTTCTGCTCTGTGAAGGATCAAAACTGCAGACCCAAAGTCCACGAAAATGGAGGGACAAGTGTAGTATAACAGACCACAAGTTGAACATGAGTCAACAGTGTGATGTTGCAACTAAAAAGGCCAATGAAATTCTGGGCTGCATCAATAGAAGTATAGTGTCTAGATCAAGGGAAGTACCACTCTATTCTGTTTTGGTCAGACATCACCTGGAATACTGGAATTCTGGGCACCACAATTCAAAAAAGATGTTGACAGGCTGGAGTGTGTCCAAAGAAGGGTGACTAAAATGGTGAAAGGCCTGGAAACCATGTCCTATGAGGAGTGACTTAGGGGGCTGAGTATGTTTAGCCTGGAGAAAAGACGGTTAAGGAATGATAGGATAACACTGTTTAACTATTTAAAGGGTGTCATATTGAGGATGGAGTGAGCTCGTTTTCTGTTGCTCCAGAGAATAGGACATGGAACAATGGATGCAAGCTACAGAAAAGGAGATTCCACCTAAACATTAGGAGGTACTTCTTGACACTAAGAGCTGTTCAGCAGTGGAAAAACACTGCCTCAGAGTGATGGAGTTTCCTTCTTGGGAGGTTTTTAAATAGAAGCTGGATGGCCATCTGTCAGGGGTTCTTTGATTCTGTGTTCCTGCATGGCAGAATTGGCTTGGACTGGATGGCCCTTGGGGTCTCTTCCAACTTTATGATTCAATTCAGCTGCCCATTGGAACAAGAAAGATAATGTTTCCAATGCCTTCCCACCACTGAGCAAGGCTGTGACAATCAGAAATAGGGCCCACAATTCCTTGTTGCAGTCTTACTCACAAGCAAGGGCATCACTAGGGGATGCAGTGGAGTAGGCTGTACCAGGTGACACCATAAAGGAGTGTGACACCATTGCTTCCCAAATATGTGCCTTTGGCAATAATGGCCTATGGCATTCACCTGTGTCCCTTTAAAACACTGAAGAGATGGTGTGATGAGTAGGCCAAGGCTCCATTGGACGAAAAAGGAGAGGTTCCAAGATTTTTTAAAAAAATTAATTTATTTTTTTTAGAAAAATTAAAAACTAATTTTCTTTTTAAAAATCACATCTTATCAAATTTTCACTTTAATGATAATAATAATAATAATAATAATAATAATAATAAATTTTATTTATATCCCGCCTTTTGGGGACCCAATCCAGGCAGCTTACAACAATAAAATCACCTGAGATATCCCAAAAACAATCCCTCCCCCCCTTAAAACAGTATTAAATCAGATAACAGTTAAAATTACAAATTTAAACAATTAAAAGTTAAAACAGTTAAAACCATATGAAACTATGCACATGTAAATACATGTAGGCTGTGAGTATGATATTGTAATTTATAGGTATAATTTTAATGTTTCTAGTTGTTTCTGTTGCAATTATTACCATTACATTCAATGATATACATGAATTACAATTTATGAGTAACATTAGTACAAAAAACATTACTAAAGATTCTGTATGGTGTGGTATGGGAGGAGGCCAGTGGGGTGGTGACACCCAATGGGACAGGAACACCAGGTGATGCCAACCATAGGTGATTCCATTGCTGACTGGCAGGACAGGGCTGGAAACATCCTTCTCCTTGTGCCCCAACCAACAGCTGAACACACTTCTTCTACCCAGTGTGGCTGATGGTGCTTGTGAGGATGGTGGTTACATACATAACTAAGTAGTCAATGTAGAACATCATCAATAAATCTCACATTGGTCAATAGTTTTATTAGGACCTGTCAATTACTGGACTGCAATAAGACGGTGAGTGAAAAGTTTAAGTATGGTCTTTCCTTTAGCCATCTTGAGCAAGAAACAGGGTATAAGTATGGAGAGGTGAAGGTTTTGCCCCCATAAGAATTCTGCCTCACATATGAAATTTTTTACCAGTCCCCAAATTTCTAGCATTGCAGAGCATGATACATTGCAAATCACACCCAGAATTTTAATATTTGCTATCTTAGAATCATAGCAATAGCAATAGCAATAGCAATTACATTACTATACTACTTATCAGTACACATAAGCACCCCTAAGTGGTTTACAATGTGTAAGCAATTGCCCCCAACAAGCTGGGTACTCATTTTAGTTAGTTAGTTAGTTAGTTTCCAGGCACAGTATAAGGTGTTGGTATTAACCTTTAAAGCCCTACATGGCCTGGGCCCATTTTACCTAAGGAGTCACCTATCTCCATGCCCTCAGGTCCTCTGGGAGGAAGTTGCTTCAACCAATAAGAACTAGATTGGCAACAATCTCCCAGAGGACTTTCTCTGCCATGGCCCTAGACTGTGGAATGCCTTGCCGGAGGAGATCCATCAGATAACCAA